TACTTAAGTTGGGTCAAATTAGGATCGCGACCTAATCCAATTTAAAATGATATTCTTTTAAAGTCCAAAGTGCTTTAAATAGCCGAACTTTTCTAGAAACCAAGTGTCACTTGATTTACCTAGGCTGCCTCGTTAAGTGGTTTTTGCTAATCAAGGTTCTCAAACTGATTTTGTTAAATAACCTTCGTGTTACTGCAAGATTGTTACGGTGATGTTTTCCACAAATCTTAATGCACTATTCTTAGTAGTAATCTAAGGGTTGGTCTTTGGGTTGCTAAGGGTAGTAGGGTTTAGAGTTAGGGTTGGTCCTAACATGAGCTTTTATGAATGGGAAAATAGGAAAGAACCGTTGGTGGACCTCTTTTTCAGCCGGACCCTTGTTTTAATTTATAGTTGGTTGATGATTATGCTAGTTTTTAACAAAGTTTTGATCCTGAATATTTATTTTCTATATTATAAAACATTTTTTGGTTTTCTAAAATTGTTTAAGTCTCTAGATTATTGTGTTATGTGTGCTTGTCTTCTTCGTTTGGGCTTTTTGGTGGAGTTATGTTCTGTTTTTATCCTTGGTTTGTTTTGATATTTGTTCTGGTGTGGTGTGTCACTTTAGTTAGTTTTTTACTTTATTTAGAAAACAATTTTCAAACCCCCCATCTTTTAATTTAGTTTATAGATTTTAGATAGTTGTTTTCACTCAATAAAAAGTGACAAAGTAAACCGATTTTCGTAACCTAAAAAATGTCTTTCTTCGTGGGATCGACTCTTACTTATCCTATCTATAGATTTAATAAATATTATTTTTTACAAGAAGGAATTGAGTAAAGGAAAAGAATAAATTAATTTTTTAGGTGTTACGACACGCCTAACAGAGATCCACAACTGTGTCTGCGTATAGAACACTGTCACCAATTGCCTTGCTTAGGACATTCAAAATCCATGAAGTCACCATATCATTGCATTGTTGCCAGGCACTGAGTCTCGCAGGATCATTATTAGGTTTCTCAATCCTTCCATAGACAAAATTGAGTTTGTTCTTGGCAGATAAGGCAATTTTAATGGATTTCTGCCAAGATCCAAAACCTTCACCTTCAAACTTAGTCGAAATCAGGATTAAACCTGGATGATCAGATGGATGGAGATACAGAGGATCAGAAGGATGAATTCTTCCAGAATTTTCTTCCGCCATTGAAGATGAAATCAAATGAGTTGAAGGATTCCTCAAAGATGATGACTGGACGCAGAATCGATCTTAATCCTGCTCTGATACCATGTTGGAATTCTTAGATATGATGAATTCCTTGAACAATTTGATACAGAAATGGCGATGAAGAATGAAGAACGAAGGAAAATAAGAAAAACAGTCTTTATTGAT